CCTAGCCAACTGAGTGCCATCAAGAGAATCTCTGGCATGGTCAGCAATCCCTCTAGTCTGAAAGGTGGTGGTAGAGTCAGAGGAGGAAGACTGCTAAAAAAAGTCTCCTGAGACACTCTCATCCTCATGGTCAGGCAGGAGTCCTGTGACCCACAGATTCTGGAATTCTGCGAGGTGAGGGTTCTGGTCTCTGCTGAGTCATCAAGAAGAGTATCAGTGTTCTTCTTCATGAATATCCCTTTGATGCAAGCTGCTAGACCCAGCTTCAGGTATGAGGCTTGTTAGAGACTGATGAGATATTTATCGGGATTCAGGGATGTCATATAAGGGGAGGTCAGGGGTTATGTTGCATAGAATGTGTCAGATATGTTGGAATTCATTATAGTGTCTGATGGCTCAAGCAGTAATTGAGTGATGTCTCTAGCACAGTTGAATAATTATCAATAGTCCCAACAATATTCTAATGATGGAAGAGAGGAGTTTGAAGAACTCTCAGTCAAAGTTCAGATCTGAAGTGTTAATAGAGAGTATTCGGTTTTCTTTACACTATAGTATGTGAGAAAAGAGAAGGAGAAGCTTTGAGCTAATTGTTAGACCCAAGTTACATATGACTATAAACACATGATAAACTGACATCACTTTGCACTTTAAGTGGAACATCAGAGTTCACTGGTTGTGAATAATAGTTGGTGTGCATCAAGGCCTTAAGATTGGCTCAAGAGGAAGTGGTGTGATAATAAACTTTAGCTTGAAGCTGGGTTTTACCAGCAAGAGTGAGCCTGCTTAAATATGGTACAAGTCCTATCTAAATATACTATTGCTAATTGTATGTTGTTGAGCTTTTGTGCTCATTGTCCTTGGGTGTCATTGTGGTACATAAAAGAATGATTGTGTATCGTCAGACAATGCTGTTGTATCAAGAGACAATGATGAACCCAGCTAGTTGTGATGACTAAGCCATATCCCACAGTCTCAAGTATCTGTGTTTAGCACTCTGACTAAGCATAAATAGGGGCTTGTCAATGAAAATAATGGAAAAATCATAACATGTTAGCTCTGGCCAAATAGCAACACTACCTTATTAGAGCAGTCCAAACATTCAAAATTTAGACTGATCACTAGAACTTTCACTACTTTCACCTCTCACAGAAGCTCAACCAATGGCAAGCCCATTGAGTAATCAGGCTTTCTGAATATGACTATGTCTTACACTATAAGACAGAAGTGGCAAACTAGAAAGTTAATCTTCTCAGTCAGCAAGCTGACTACAATCAAGGGAGAGAAGACAACAAAGAGGTTATACTATTAAAGCTAAAACATTTCTGAGCAATGATAATGCCAATGGAGAAAGAAATATATAAGTGCATCAAGAGTGCCATGCATAATAACAGCAAATGGAACCAACAAGTGGCTCTATCTCTCAACTATAAATAAGAGATGATAAAAGAGAGCAGATTAATCTAATATAATGAGCAGATATATATCCTGTGAGATCAATCTCTCTAAGAGGATATTATTGCCATCTGTCATGATCATGCAATAGTGGGACATCCAGGAATTGCTAAAACTAAAGAATTAATCCTACACAATTACTGGTGGCCAAAGATGGATCAAGACATCAAATGATATGTGAAGAGATGTGAAATATACCAATGTGAAAAGGTATCAACTCAATTATGTGCAGCACCACTATACCCAAATGAGATATCTACATCACTATAGATTCATATCTCAATTGATATGGTAATAGGCTTATAGGATTGCAATAGCTATGATGCTATCCTCATCATAGTCAATTACTTCTTAAAAGTGATCATTCTGATTGCTTGCTCCATGGAGTTAACATTAGAGGGATGGGCTAAGATCTTATGAGACAAGGTTTATGCTAAGTATGGCATGCCTTAGGTCATCATCTCCAACTGAGGCTCCCAGTTCATCTCAAAGTTTCTCAATCACCTCTATTATCTCTTAAACATACAACAAAATGCCTCAATGGCATATCACCCTCAGACTGATAGCCAGACAGAGTGAGTTAATCAAGAGATTAAAAAGTACCTTCAACTCTTCATAAACTATCAACAAGATGATTAGGTCAAATAGCTAGCATTAGCCATGTTTTAACACAATAATTGAGTCTATTCAGCAATCAGGAAGACTCTCTTCTTTGTAAACTATGGGTGACACCCAAAGATCACACATTCTGAATGAGCTCATACATTGACACTCACCTCATTCAATTTCACACACACTATGACTAAAATTCATGAGGAAACCTGGATCACTCTGAAGAAAGCAGCATCTACAATAAAAAAACAATATGATAAACATCACTCCCTCATATATCAGTATTCATGAAACAACAAAGTTTGGTTGGATACCACCAATCTTCATCTTCCACACCTGAAACAAAAGCTTACTGACAAACAAACAGGACCTTTTCCAATCCTTGCTAAAGTTGGCAGCTTAATCTATAAACTTCAACTCTCTATCAGTTGAAAGATTCATAATGTCTTCAACAAATCTCTCCTAACTCTGTATGTCACACCAGCATTCCTAAACCAGCACTGACTGCCACCTCCCAAACTGCTCCTCATTGATAATGAGGAATACTACAAAGTCAATCAAATTCTCAATCACAAACTTTACAAAGTCAAAGCCAATAGAGAAGGCTCACAAACAATGGTTGATTATCTGGTCAGTTAGAAGAGTTACAGCTCTGAATCTAACCAGTGAGTCAATAAACAGCATATGAATGCCAATGATGCAATCTGAGACTATGAACTCTCCTTAGAATAGCTATTGGGACAATAGTCTTAAGGAGAGGGTAATATTATAATTTTTTTCAGTTTTATTTTCTTTTATCTTAGAATGACCTTTATCTATGCTTAGTCAGAGCATCTATATGAGCACTTAGGATCATGAGACTAGCTTAGTCATCACAACAAGCCCAGTCCATCATTGTTCTCTGACACAGTGACAGTCCTTGACAACATACAAATACTCTTTCATAGACTGTAATGACACTCAAAGACAAAGAGCACAACAACACAGGAACTCACAATTAATAGGGATATATTTATCACAGACATTGAACAGTATATAAGTAGTGTAGCTCTTGCTGTATATCTCCAGCTTTGAGCTAAAGTTTATTCTTACCACTTCATCTCAAGCTGACTGTTTCTAGGCCTTGAAGCATCAGATCAATGGACACATACAGTGGACTCTAATGTGACTGTATGAATATGATACAGTGTCAGTTTATCATATGTTTAGATTATGTGTGACTTAGGCTTAATATATTGTGCCTGATAAAGTGATCTGTGCAGTTGAATCAGATGGACATTTGGAAATCCCATAAGTATTAGCATGCAGTCCAGACCATGGGCCTTCCAAAGAAAAAGATGTCATTGCACAATCAAGAGTGGTGAGACAGTTTTATAATGTCATCCTCAACTCATGCCTATCTCCAATAGCTGCTATGGCAATGAATGAAAGAGAGGAGTTGTAAAGTCCATTTTCTAATTAAAAATAGTCCCCATGCTACCCAGCCAATGTCCAAGATCTAAAGCAAAGATGCTAAGGCTTGGCATCTGAGGCAACAAAATCTCTTCACATGGTATGATGCTGCAAATACAGAGTTTGAAAAGCAATGGTCAACCAATCCAAGACAATTTGTATACAAGTGAGAAATATTGTGGCTTCAGTTCTTAGCACTTAGGCATGAGACACTGAAAAAATTCATTGGTCATCTCTGGTGGAGTTGCAGAAAGAGAGGCTGGCCCAGATTATGCATTAGCTGAGGAAATAAACCTCATTTAAAGATGTACCTCTGTGGCTAAAAATTAATACAGGTTCTGATAGTGATACCTGTCATGAGTTCACACTCTTGTAAGCTAGTTGATCATAAAATGCTCAAGGCATGTTTCATCCTTTTATTTCAGAAGACACTGCTGAATAGTTCTTGCATCAGGAACAAGTAAAAGCAAACTCCTAAGATGACTTTTATAACTCTTATTTGGATATCTGTAGTCTTACTGTACAGTTTGTAATATATATCAAGATATCTTTTGTACATATGTCAGTCAGCCTTTTTTCATCATTGCTCATATTCTCTCAAGTATGATGATTTGTGCTAAAGTGAATTATCATTTACATTCTGTGATAATGCCACTCCTTGATGTGCTATGTGCCAGTAGCACTTGTAGTGCCTCCAGAGGCTCAAGTAAAGTGGATAGACCAATAGCATAGTGAGTTAGTAGCTATAACTTTTGTTACAGAATCTGACACAGTTATTTTGAGTGATAATAACTTAGACTGATAATTATTCTAAGTTCTATATATATAGGATATTTGGTTACTATGCTGTTTTTAAGAACCTATGGGACAATCAGTTTGGTGGTCATAGTATTTTCTGATCTGTCTAATTTAGCTGATCATAGAACATTTTCTATCTATTAATAGCATTTGCTAGGGTGACTATTTGAGCAACCTATGGAAATTTTTGATTTATTTGATGGTATCTGCTGAGTTGGCTACCTGCTCAAAATGTAATACTGATGGCAACCAAGCACTTCTAAATAATATATCAATTTTTAAAGTATTAATATCTAATAAAATAAGTGTCTACTACATATAGAAATTTATTTTAGTATATCAGAAACCACTCTTGCAGCCAAACAGACCTTAAATCTTCACTTCAAAGTATATATTTCAGCTAGAAATCTTTACTCATTGCAAAATATATAATAAGAGTAAGATAATTATATATTTTTATCATCTGTTTCTGATGAAGAATTATATATAGTAGTTGATATATCAATATCAGTTCTTTACCATGTTATAATCAAATAAATCTGAATCTTGTTTTTCATCATGATATTTTAAAATGATTATCTTTTTAATATGCAGTAAAGATACTTTGTTGATGCTTTATTATTAGTTTTTGCTGTGTCACTGCATACTATATAAGAAGAGATTTAGTGTGTATGATATCTACTAACTACTCTCTCTAAATCTCTTGCTTGCTTTCTATCTTCACTCAGACTTCTCCAATGGTCACTCAGATTAATATACCATCAGATCTTACTGATGCAGACAAAGCTCTCATATTTCAAATCCTTGATACTGACTTGAATTCAATAATACTGTACTCTCTATTAAATGGTATGCAGATTTATTCAAACTTGTGATATTTGTATTGATTATAACTTTATATAGGAATATATACTGGAATTGTTGCTGTTACACTTTGGAATATCTGTGAGTGAAATATATCTGCTCTACTATTTAAGCTGAGATAAACACAGTTATATACAAATCACAGTCTATTGGACAGACTATGACTGCTATTATAATTCTTCTTTATATTTCTAGTACTATCAACTTTTCCATCAACTGGTCAATTATAAACTCTCAATTTACCAATAATGGTCAGAGTTTTTGGACCAGATATCTATCTGATTACAATTTTGGTCAAATAATGTTAGGAGGTGATATTATGAGTGCTACTAATACTATTCTTGCTGACTCCACTATGGTATGTATGATAATTCTAATTTATAATATTGCTCATTGATATCTCATTATAGATTTGGCGTTGTTGGATAGTCTGGGGCCAGCAATGGCTTATTGTTCTGCCTCCTATATTTTTTCTTGTTTCTGCAATTGGTAAGATCTCTCTCATGTTTTTATTTTGTTACTTTACTAAAAAGTTAATGTAGTTTTCAAAATAATTATTACTTATATTGGCTATACTACATTCAACATCTCTGCTCATGATGAGATTCTCTATGCATCTTTTACTCTTGCTTCCACCTTGTGGTGCACCTTATCTATCATCTACCACATTATCACTGTTGCACAAGCAGGAAATCAAGTGGGAGGTGGAATCAGAGTTTATTATCCCATTATTAAAATCTTGGTGGAATCATCAGCACTTTATTCCATATCCTTGATTTTATATATAGTCTTTTATGCTTGTGACAGTCCTATGGAAGGTTACTTTGACTTTCTAGCAGCAATTGCAAAGGTATGTTTACATTCTATTGTTGACTTTATATCTGACAGATATTATATAGGGCATTGCTCCTACTCTTCTTGTTGCACAGGTTGCAGCAGGTCATGCTCATCCAAATGATTCTTGGCAGGGAAGCACTGTATCAAGCTCACTTCACTTTGGGACACATTCTGGAGGTCATGACTCCCAGCAGGACTCCATAATCAATGGTGACCTTGAAGCTCAGCAGATGATAGATGATGAATATGGCCATCACATTGCAGTGGAATCCCAGGAAGATATTGGTATCAACAGTGAAGAGGGCATCATCCATGGAGACTATAATGGGCTTGATGTGTTGGAGATACAAGTATAGTTGGAGCAGTTTGGTATTTATATTTCATATTATTTAATTCTTCCATTTCTTCTGTCTATTTACATGCATACTGTGTATGCATAATATTTATATCTCATGGTTTTATCTGCATACCTGCGGCAATTAACAATAAGACACTCAGACAAATATCCACCCACTCATAAGCTTTTATATCTTCCCTCAACTGACATATGAACTAATGTATCTAAAGTCGAAGGCACACACACAGTGGTGATCCCACCATTCTTCGACACATACATAGGGAAGAATACGCCAGTGAGTACACTTGCAATGCTGTTCCTCTCAGATGGTCACATCAACCCTGTTAATTGTCAAATACAATCCTACACTATCCTTCAAGCCCACTTCTTTACATCCTCGGTAGTAGGCCCAGTAGGATCGTCCGATGCAGCAAGGTTACACTGGTGGAACGCCCGAACCTGGTCCGAAGTGAATGCACCGACAACGCTATGCAGCACACCGCGATTATGGAATATCACCAGATCCTTCTCTTTCCAATCGTGCGCGTACACAAGCTAAGAATACGATCAAACATTTCTCCTACACCCGACTAAAAGTAACCCACCTTTGGCGCAATAGCCGGACGTTGCATCCTGTACAACAATCCTCGCACCTCCTTCAAGTCCGTAAGGCGCGCACCATCAGGATACAATGCGCCTTCCTTACTCTTTCCCTCCGGAATCGGATCAACAAGCAACTCCGCCACACCACAAGGATGAACCTCGAAATGCAGTTCCCCCGTCACCGCATTCTTCCACACGACCGGCAGGATTTTCACCTTCGCTTCTTCCCACGCCGGGAGCGAGCTCAATGGCACTTCCAATCCCTCACACTCGATACCCAACCCGGTCGCCATCGCATGCGCGGGAGCCATCCACACGTACGGGTGAGGCGCATACTTCACTTTCGAACGCACGGCCAGACTCTTCAGCTCCGGAGGGAGGATATCGAACATGGTCTTCCCAGAAACGAATGCCGTTGTTCCCAGAGGTACTGGGAGCTCGTCGCCTGTCCCGTCGTCGTAGCGGCACACCTGCTGTGGACCAGTCGGCACAGTGAGGCCATACAGAGTCGTCACTCTAGGCGGGGATAAGTCGTACAAAGCCGCGTCAATGTGCCAGCGGTAGAATCGGGTCGCTCCCTTTGCCTCGTCCAAGGCCGATACACGAGTCTTGTGGAATGTCGTATGAGACGGGTGCTTGAGCTTCGCTTCAGCGAGACCTTCGTGGTCGTAGACAGTACCGTTGCCGATTAGCTGGACCTGAGGGACACGGGGGATTGTCTTCAGGTCCGGATGAAGGATAGACGTCTTCGTGCCCTCTGTCTTGTTATTGCCGTGGCCGTAGTTCTCCGATTCAGGATCAAACGCCTGGAACGACAGTTGAATCTTCCCCGCGGCACATCCAGATAAGCATTACCTTCGTCAACGCATACTGCTGCTCTGGCGATAAATCAACATTGCGGAACAGTAGAACATCATGCTGCGAATCATCAGCACTCGGTATATGGGGAAAATCAAGTAACACACCCTGTAAAGGGCATCCCGGATCTCCTGAAACTGCTCTGGGGTAAAGTTCCCCGGATCTACTCCATTCACTTGACGTCCAAAGGTGGTGAACTTGGAAGGATCAGCAGACGCTGGCAGTGGGAGCGGAACGAATTCAATAGCCATTGTTCGTCGAAGATGATGGTAGAAAGCAGAGCTTGGCTCGCTCTAATCATAGCATTCCTCATGGACGTCATTTGATCGGAAATCTCCTATCGCCTGGCATAGTTGACAGAACAGACAGCTAATGAGGCAGCCAAAAAAGATAAAAGGCGGCGTGCGAAGAGGTACAACGCTGGCGATGGTAGCAAGGAAAGAACAGCAGCTGCTTCTATTGCAAATTCCCACAGGCCCAGCCAACGATACCAAATCAATATTCAACGTTCGTATCAATATACAAGTACACTAGCACAGTTGCAGCATAGATGATGTACAGTAAAAAGATCGTAGACCATAGTAGATACACAAAAATATACAACAGAAAATCCTCACAGCGATGTCGTCAACCCCAGAGCACGAGCACCTGCACCCGTAGCTCCTTCCCACCCTAAAAACCTCTCCGAACCTGAATCCACAGAACTCGACCACCTATAGCCTGTCTTCTCCCCACCCATCCATATATTTCCCTTGCCCTTCGTCCTCGCCCACACCGAGATAAACAATATACGTTTCTGCTTGCGATTCAGAAAGAACCAGTGAGATGACCACAACAGCGCCCCACGGCGCCTCCGCGTCAGGCCGGACTTGAGACTATCATCCGACCGACGGCGCGCCATCATAGGTATAGGCGCTGACTTGGCCTCGTCAACATTATAGTCGTCAAACTCGAACACCTCTTCCTCATCTGTCGACTCAGCTTCATCACTGGCTGGATAATCGTCGTCGTCGCTCAAGTCGCTGCCATGGGGATCAGCCTCTATCTCTGGTACGTACGAGAAGACCTCGCACTCGGAGAGGCCTATCACGTCATCGAGGAGGCGGTAGATGAACGGGTGCGTGCCAGACTCTATCAGGGGCGGCGCATAAGGGCTTTGGAGGAAGCTGTTGACGGGCGAGGACGACGTGGGTTTCGGCTCGGGAAAGAAGTCGGACGACGTGGGCGGGTAGGACGAATACGTACGCGGTGCACTGACGCCGGCACGGTGTGGTGCTACGAGTGTCGTGCTGAGGGCGTTGAGTACCGCCGCTCCGCTCTCTTCTTTGTTGAAATGCCCGGGTCGCACATCCGAGAACTCATAGTCAGGAAAAGCGATGTTGAGGGTGGCAATGAGGAGGTAGAGTGTCTTCCGCGACGCATGCTTGTCGATGGGTCCGAAAGGGGTCATCTCCGGCTCGTCGAGAGCGAGCCAAGAAGGAACTGACGGTGAATGGGCTGCCTCGTCCTTGTAGGCATCCTCGAGCGATCGAAACAGCTTCTTGTCGCGCTTGACGTTCTTGCAGCTATACACCTCTATTCGAGTATATACAGAGCATTCCGGCCCCTCGTGGGTGAGTGACTGGGCGAGACGAGAGAGCGCTGGCTGATCAATGTACTTCATGGCGCCAGAGGGGGGTCGTGGGAATCGTTGCCTGTTTCGTCCCGCTGATAAACCGTCGGAACTCGGCTGCCACTCATCGCACGTTCGACGCGTCCTATACGTGCCAGCGAACAGCGAACAGCTAACATTCCTCCGGTACTCGAGGTAGTAGCAACGTGAACCAGCATGAAGAAATATCATTGACCCACCTGTCGAACCGCCACAACTTTTCGCATATCCGGAGAACCAAACACAATCAACTTGCCCACGGTTGTATCTTGACTCTCGAAGCTGGGTTCTTGAAGCTGGAATTTGATGCCGCTCTTTGCGGGAGAGCGTACGCAGTTTGGGAGTTCCAGGTGGTGTGGATTTGTGTAAAGGAGGATTGTTTTACTTACGGTATGACTCGGTCTGCAGCTTGCTGGGCGAGTCACGTATTTGCTGTTCCACCTCCGTTCCTTTGCATTGACAACGTTCAAGTGTAGATCTCGATCATCACAGCCTTGTATTATCATGTGGCATCACAATCTGCAATATCATTGCTTCTACATACCTGTATTCGTCAGAACGACAGTGGCAACGAACACAAATAATTAACGCACCAGCCAACTGGTATCAAGACGCACGCATACAATCGCCTCATCACGCATGCGGATACCACCTTCAATCGCGAGGACATCGATCACATCGATATCATCAGCTCTACGTAGAACTGTATTCGGTCAGAACGGCAGCGGCAACGAACATGGATTCAACGCACCAGCCAAGTCGTATCAAGATGTATACAACCACTTCATCGCGCATACGGATACCCTTCATGACCGTCTATTTCAGTCGCCGGGTACATCATCCACGTCGATCTATATCCAACGAAAAAGTCAGATCGATGGCAGCGGCGAATATGGCGTATGTGTGTACCACTGGTCCTCATGAGAAATTGTACACCTAATTGGTACTCCCAACAACCATACGAGCTCAATTCCTACTGCCGACTTCTACATCGACTGTTATTAAACGGCGATGATGACGGACGAGATACTTTGCTCACCTCAATGATGGGAAACCCACGTCAGCTTTAGATGACAGTATCGATGGTCGTGGTTCGTGGAAAAGTTACATCGACGAGTCATCGATGAAGACGCGTCGACAATTTCAATTACTTATTTTATTATTTTATTATTTTTATCATAGATTTTTTTTTGTTTTCAGCATTTGATAAACCGCAACAAATAAGCCAACTACTAAGACGCGGTGGAGGTACAGGACCTCAGGATCCTCTCTCCCTCTTGTTCCGGTTCCTCCGCTCTTCCTTCCGAGTTCCCCTGGTGTTTTGGCATGTAATGTGGAGTAGAGCAATGGACATGTATGGTACTTTGCACCCCCGTGGTGGGCTAATTGATTAGTTTGATTCTGTGGTTGGCCGAAGCCATGAGGTACTTTGCGAGCGTGTCTTGGGTGCCAGCTGGGTTGGTCGTGTTCCATAGTGTGGTGGGTGCACAGCGGCTATCCATGCTCGTCTTCTGTGTCGCCCTCGTCTTCTTCCCACCACTCTCCCTCTTCTTCTGGCTCTGGGGCGAGCCCCTCGTTTCGTAGTTGTCCCGTCCGGGTGAACGCTCCCGTGTTTTCCATGAACTTGCTGTGATTCCTTCCTTGGTGCCGAGGATGTCCGATACACAGTCCTTGACACGTTCCGAAGGGTCCCCCGTTGCTCTTCGTAGAGGTTTTATCATAGATGTGTGCCTTTCCATGCCTTCCAGTGCTCCTTCTCCAAATCAAAGCAACCCCGCCTGACTCATCTCACCTCTCAGCCTATCATCGCAGATATCTCCTCCACCTTACAAAGCAGGAGAAATGTCTCCATTCTGAACTCACCGAGCTTGCCTCAATTTACGGTGTTGCATCAGGTTTACCCTCCGACTAGTGTTCGAAGATCCTCCAAACGGTCTGGGACCAGACGATTGGGACGATACACTCCAATCCAAGGATACTGTTAACGACAGAGAACCATTGCTCTTTCATTGGGCTTTGTATACTATCCAGTAGTTGCCTACAGCTTTGGTTCCTTACCTCTGCGCATCCATTACGATGATCGAGATAGACGTAGACTAAACAGGCGTAATAAATCTCTCATCTCCGTGCTCTGCAAACTGTCGGAAAGCCACTCTGATGGACTGGGACAAACATGATGAACGTTTCTTGCACCTTGTCAAGCGTATCCTTCTCCCCCCTCCATGGCAAATGAATCTCAGCTGCATGTTCCCTATGCAGCTCTTGTCCAAGGCAGATACTGCTTCCATAAGTGCAGACTAAGTACACTGCCTGATGTCGCATGGGTTTATTCTTGAATCGCGTACATCTGTCAGCGTGCACGATCAAGTCCCTGACCTCAAAAGAGGCCAAGGATGAACATCCAACTTCGACAGTGCTTCCTTGATCATGGTGTAGATCATCTTGGATATGGCACTGATTATCTTTTCAAGGCAGGATGGGCTTTTTGTTATGGCATCGTATACTATATAACGAGGGGGGTTATCGCATTAGTATGTTATCCCTACAGAGGCTCCCTCCCTTGTTATTCTACCTTCGTCCAGTCTTCTTTGATGGCCACTCAGATCAATATTCCATCAAACCTTACTGATGCCGAGAGAGCTTTTATATCCACAGATCTTGACGGCGCGTTGAATTCACGAGTGCTTTATTCTCTACTTCTCGGTGTGTATATTAGTTTAGAATCCGGTGTCTAATGATTCACTGTACATAGGTTTATATACAGGAATCGTTGCTGTCACTTTGGGGAACATCTGTGAGAAGAATGAGTCCACTACTATGTTATCCGAACTAATGTAAACGACGCAGTTATGAACAAGGATCGACCCACTGGACGAGGCATAGTCGTGACTATATCCCTCCTCCATATTGCAACTGCTATCAACTTCGGCCTCGACTGGGTATACATCCGCACTATTTTTGTTAAAAATGGACAGAGTTCTTGGGCAGAATATGTGTTTTACAATAGTTTCGACATAAATTTAACTGTGGGGATGGGTACTACAGGTGCTATATGTACTGTTCTTGCGGACTCCACTATGGTGTGTGCGACTTCATGGCATTCTCTTCAGCAGCTTAGCTTACCATTAATCGAAACTATAGATCTGGCGTTGTTGGATGGTCTGGGGACGGCGATGGCAGATCATTTTGCTCCCTACTCTTTTCCTCAGTTCTACAATTGGTATGATCAACCTGGCCTTACAGTTTGTGAATTGACCCAGGTTGTGTGCAGTATTCAAAATCATTGCTACATACAGATCATATGCCACTATAAATGGGTACACCCCTGGATATGTGCTCCAATCAGCCTTTATCCTCGCTACAACTCTATCGTGCACCTCGCTCATAATTTACCGCATTGTGACCGTTGCACGAGCAGGAGGAACTCAAGTAGGAGGTGGAGTTGGAGCTTACCGCCATGTTATTGAGGTCTTTATTGAATCGTCGGCTCTTTATTCCTTATCCTTGATCACATATGTAGTTGTATTTTCCTGCAACACCAGTGCATCGCCTTACATTGATATCATAACAGGAACGGCAAGAGTATGCGCATATTCTTCAGCTATCTTCTACTGCCTTACAGTATTTATGTAGGGAATTGCACCGACACTCCTTGTAGGGCGTGTCGCAGCAGGTCATGCTCGATCAGACGATTCCTGGCAAGGAAGCATTGTGTCCTCCCTTCGTTTCGGTGCACATTCCAGAGAGTCTCAGCAAGATTCCAGTGCAACAAGTACTGACCTCGAAGGCCAGCAGGAGAGAAGCAACGAATACGACCATTCCACGTCGATGGCCTCTAGTGCCGACAATAGCCTCATCCATCAAGGTCACCGCGAAACCCAGCGAGAGAGACCAGCGAATGATTCTAACGCGGCGATCATCACTGTAGACATTTGTTGATATGCATTTTATTTAGTATTTACCGCACTTCCTTTGTTCTTTCGCCCATGTACCGGATGATGTACATGTACCTTTTGGAGGCTGGCCATCCCTATTCTTTCTCTGCTCTCAGACTATTGGCATTTTCATATTAGATTTACTTCCACATATTATACAACGGGCGAGTTGTAGGAGACGGCGTGGCAATTACTTTTTGCGTAGCACAGAAGTACCTACCCTGACTTATTGTCAAGAAAGGCTGAGATGCATCATCACTGGGCTCTCACCTGTGATCGAGGAGAAATTTGAGGTTTAATGCATATCGATTATACGCTCTTGTGTAGCCTTGAAACTTGAAATTTCATGCACACTATTAAGCAACCTTTTGGGGGATCCGAGGGAAGTGAGACGCCTGTGAGACTAGTACATGACAATTGGCCAAATACAAACTGAAGGATGACGTTGATTATATCCATGGAAAAGGTTTGACAGAGATATTATTTGCGAGTAATGTGCGTGTCAGTGGGAATCTCCCTCAAAGATACTCGGCATATGCCGGTCCGGAATTAATTCTCAGTCAGCACGTCCTATGCAGCCATTTTCTTCTTCCACTAAGCAGCTGAGGATGCAAACACGATTTCCGCCAAGTGATTATCAAGGCCGACCTACGAGAATAGGATGAGAAATCGTGGAAGTATGTGGCCAGTATTCTATGATCCTGTATCCATGCGCAGAGTTGCCCATGCACGACCGAGCACGGAGCTTTTAGAGGTCGAATCGCAGCTGGATGCAACGGTTTCACGTCCTCGGGACATGGTACTACTGGTCAGATTCTCTCTCTTTCGCTGTGGGTAGCGGACACGTATTTACAGTACGTCTCTTCTTCCGGTGTCAGCTTGCCTACAATTCACTAAAAGTGAGTAGAGTAGGCGATTTCATACTGGGAACAGATCAATCAAGTCCTCTCAGATAATATGAATATGGCTTAGAGTGACCAGGTTCAATGGCCGGACTTGCACATCAAACAGATTGGAGGTCAACTTTGCGAAGGATGAACGATATCGCTGAAGAATAGGAGATTCCTGGTGTATTCGTACAAGGCGATGGATGGCAGAGCAGGGATATTGGCGCATAAAATATTAGCCATACCGCCCTCTCAGATTGTGGTGCTCTACACCCAAGATAAAACTGTACGACTCTCTACTCTCTTCTCCTTTCTTCTTTCCTTCTTGACTTCTCTTTCAGACCTAGTTTCTGGAATACGATCACTCCCGTCATCCCTTCTCCTCGTCCTTGCTGCTGTACTTCTGCGTATACGGCGCCTTGCATCTCGGCATTCATGCACATAGGGTTCGGATCCAGGGGAGATATGAGTGTCCTCTGGGGCGGACGAGTTGATGGAACGAGCTCTATCTGGTATCCATCATGTTGCTTGGTATGCCAGCCTGTTCCTGTTGGTTCATCCGAAGCTCACTGTTTTCGAATTCATATGACAGCAGCGTCAGCTCTGGCATCCATTTCCATGGACTTCAGACTACTTATTCGGGAGATGCTGCGCGTCGAGATCCAAATTTCACCACCTTTGGGGCGCGGTAAGTTCATCAGGCAAGCACTTTCCTATCAATGGAGTTGGTTCAGGACTACGACAACCGATACTTTGCCTCCCGGGCTGTCAAAAGGATGGGCATAGACACTACAACTATGCCTGTGCTTGTTGCAATCTTGAATCATCTAGAATTGCCGCGATGCCCGTGGCTATTTCAGGACAGTTTCATAATCCCACCATCTGTTCAATCTCTGAGGTGATGAGGATGATTTACGGGATTACGACCGCACTCTGATCCTCTAGCAGCAATTGCAAGGGTATATTCATAGTAGTCTTCCTTATCTTCGCATCTCATAGAATTAAATAGGGAAATCTCCTTGAGCGTCGCCGTAGGTCATTTTCGTGCAGATGATTCTTGTCAGGGTCACCACAACACTTCGGGAGAGTTCGAGCTCTTGTTCAGTTTATGAGAATTGCGTCATGTTGCACTGGAAAATGCGAGGACCCTAAAAGCGCGCGAATATCTTACACTTGCGCCCTTTCCCCTCGAATTTGTCTTGGGCAACTAACGATTACAATCTCCTCGTTCCGGATGAAGCCAGGACGGTATGTCGAGCCATGGTTGTCGAAGTCCTTCTCAAATCCGATACGCGTCTCCGTCATGCATAAGTCTTTCCCGCCTGTTTGCCTCGGATTTGATACGACGAGGTCAAAAACCCGTGTTGGATATAATATGCCGGGCATTTCGAGGCCGGACAATTCATTAGCTGAAGAAATGGTCGTAGCAGTTGCGTTGAGAACCCGTCTGTCTCTTCCGTCATTTGGGCGAAGGGACCTCCTTAAAACCTCGACGTATCCAACACAAGAATTTATTTCGCGACGGTCTTTCCGACATCCCGAATAGACGCGTTTACTTACTACGCTCCATCTTTGCAATCTGATCGTTGGCTTTTCGGCACTATGTGGCACCGCACGTTGTTCATCCATGTTTAGCTCCTACGGCACTATGCTTTACAGTAAATGTCGTATATACTACCCGGAACACAGGGAACTGAACTTGTCTGTCTTTCCCTGCCATGTCTTCCCGCGCCTCCCGTTCTCGCTCTCGCCGCCAACCAGGAATTGAACCAAGCACGTCGGGACCACCAAGGTCACGTTCTGGCACCGGTACGCGTCATTCTTCCAAACGATCCACTGTGAAACAGCCTGGGGTACCTTCGGCATCACAATCTCAGCCTCGACATCGGCCCCGCACGCGCTCTTCCCACGCTATTGCCCAAGGTGTCGCGACTGGCACGATTGGTGGTGGATATGGTCCTTATTCAGTAAGTATTTGTTTGTTTTCTTGACAATTCTCTAATGCTACTGCAGTACAAACCTACCCAAGCCACTGATGGTGGAATGTATTTTACCTCGCATTTTTCCACACCTCCAGTCGCGCCTCCAGTCCAGACCAAAGCAGTGGCCACCACTACTGTTCCCCGGTTTCAATACTTCTGGGACAAGGATCCAGAACTTGATGATATCCTCCACAATCCTGACCCCATCATCGACGCCAAAATGGACCGGTCCTGTCCCCTTTTCTCCTCGCGCGGCTGGGAGAACGTAAGCGCACTCGGGGTCACCCTTGTGGGGCTGATCGCTCTATTCCTTGGTTTTCCCATCATCAGCCATTACACACGCACGGTCAACACTGCGCCTGGATATAATCTTGGCGGAATCAATTCTACTGGGCAGGTACCGGACCTTCCTGGGTTCCCGAAGCTCATAGATGTGGATACTCCCTCGGAGGCGTACTCGCGTACGGGGCACGATGGGAAGCAGTACAACTTGGTGTTCAGCGACGAGTTCAATACGGATGGACGTACGTTCTATTCTGGAGATGATCCCTATTGGGAGGCAGTTGACTTCAACTATTGGCCCACTGGTGATGTTGAGTGGTATGATCCAAGTGTATGTCTGCTTGGGCTATGTAGTGAACCATATTCTCATTCAATTTGTTGTTATTTAGGCAGCCATCACGCGAGATGGCAAATTGGTGCTTACGATGACGGAGGAAAACATTCACGACTTCAATTTCAAGAGCGGTCCGTTTACATTTTAAAATCGATGCTCTCCGCGTAATTGACGTGCTGATAGCTATGGTTACGTCATGGAACAAATTGTGCTTTACTACCGGTTATATCGAAGTTTCGATCAGCATGCCTGGTAGTCCGAAGGCAGCAGGTTTATGGCCTGGTGAGCTAATGGTGGTTCGTAGGTGCCCAATGACTTCTGACGACTTTTAACAGCTGCATGGACCATGGGAAACTTGGTATGAATCCTTCTCATCCCTTCCAAAGTATTGTTCTCACCATGTTGCAGGGCCGCGCTGGCTACGGTGCAACTACGGATGGAATGTGGCCGTACAGCTACGACTCCTGTGACTTGGGCACATTCCCGAATCAAACAACAGCATCTGGCGAACCAAAAGCCGCGCTTACGGGCGGGAGCGGCGGCTTACCCATTAGCTACCTCCCCGGCCAACGCCTCTCTGCATGCACATGCGAGGGATCTGACCACCCAGGACCCACCACCAGCACGGGGCGCGGTGTCCCCGAAATTGATATCATCGAACACCAAATCGACACGACTATCTGGCACGGTCAAGTTTCGCAGAGCTATCAGGTCGCACCATTCAATTATCACTATCAGGCTGATCATTCACCAAGCGTGACGACTATTTACGATGATATGATAACCCACTTCAATACGTATAATGGTTCTAATTTGCAGCAGGCGCTGTCAGCCCTGACGTACATTGATGAGACATTGTATAATGGGACTGGATATGGGGCATATGGGTATGAGTGGTATTCGAATCCGGATAATCGCGATGAGGGGTATATCACTTGGTATAGCGATGGTGTGGAGTCGTGGACGGTGACGTCTGGAACCATAGGAGCCGATTCCACAGTGGAGATCAGCCAACGACTCATCGCAGAGGAACCTTTAGTGGGTGCTGTTCCGGATATTTGCTCACAGTCATTCGGAACTGACATACGTTGTGTAGTACATCATCTTCAACCTGGGCATGTCGCCCCAGTTCCAGGCACAGGATTACAAGCACCTGACCTTCCCGAGTTCGATGTACATCGACTACGTCCGGGTGTATCAACGTTCTGGAACGGAGAATGGGTTGACGTGTAATCCCCCAAACAGACCTACGACAGATTATATCAATGAGTGTGTTCTCTGATGTTGATCCTGCCTGTTTTCTCATCGTTCTGGGATCTAGTCATCAAGAAGCGTACACTAATCCTGATTGGAAGACATGGGGTGCGGCGGGGTACACGTTCCCACGGAATTCTGTTTACGACGGATGTTGAGCGCGACGATCACCACTTAATCACAATAATGCCGCGTCTTCCCCACCTTAGCCCCTAACTGCGAAAATCAAGAAAAAAAGTTACACTATAGTGAAGGTCCCCAACTGGGCAATCTTCCGATACCGGCATGTCGACGCCGATTCGTTTTTGGTGTCAAAATCGTGGGTGTATGTTCAGGTACATACATTCTTGTAAATATGCAGGGTTGTGGTACTCGGAGCGTGGCGACCGCCTCTTTGTCGTGCTCTGCAAATAGATAGTCTCGTGATCCCCAAACTCGACAAAAATCGAACGGCTCGAGGTTGGGACGGAAATAGCTGACCCTGTGAATACCGTTCGACTTCGCGGCAGAAGCGTCGATAATGGAAATGCCTGTTGCAGAAGCTGTTTCGATCGCTCGAGGATGCCTACAAGGACGAGGCAGCCCATTCACCGTCAGTTCCTTCTTGGCTCGCTCTCGACGAGCCGGAGATGACCCCTTTCGGACCCATCGACAAGCATGCGTCGCGGAAGACACTCTACCTCCTCATTGCCACTCTCAACATCGCCTTTCCTGACTATGAGTTCTCGGATGTGCGACCCGGGCATTTCAACAAAGAGGAGAGCGGAGCGGCGGTACTCAACGCCCTCAGCACGAGGCCTCTCCGAGTGCGAGGTCTTCTCGTACGTACCAGAGATAGAGGCTGATCCCCATGGCAGCGACTTGAGCGACGACGACGATTATCCAGCCAGTGATGAAGCTGAGTCGACAGATGAGGAAGAGGTGTTCGAGTTTGACGACTACAATGTTGACGAGGCCAAGTCAGCGCCTATACCTATGACGGCGCGCCGTCGGTCGGATGATAGTCTCAAGTCTGGTTTGACGCGGAGGCGCCATGGGGCGCTATTATGGTCATCTCACTGGTTCTTTCTGAATCGCAAGCAGAAACGTATATTGTTTATCTCGGTGTGGGCGAGGATGAAAGGCCAGGGAAATATATGGATGGGTGGGGAGAAGACAGGCTATAGGTGGTCGACTTCTGTGGATTCGGGTTCGGAGAGGTTTTTGGGATGGGAAGGAGCTACGGGTGCAGGTGCTCGTGCTCTGGGGTTGACGACATCGTTGTGAGCATTTTCTGTTGTATAATTTTGTGTATCTACTATGGTCTACGATCTTTTTACTGTACATTATCTATGCTGCGACTGTGCTAGTGTGCTTGTATATTGATACGAACGTTGAATATTGATTTGGTATCGTTGGCTGGGCCTGTGGGAATTTGCAATAGAAGCAGCTGCTGTTCTTTCCTTGCTACCATCGCCAGCGTTGTACCTCTTCGCACGCCGCCTTTTATCTTTTTTGGCTGCCTCATTAGCTGTCTGTTCTGTCAACTATGCCGGGCGATAGGAGATTTCCGATCAAATGACGTCCATGAGGAATGCTATGATTAGAGCGAGCCAAGCTCTGCTTTCTACCATCATCTTCGACGAACAA